ATTTATTCCCTTAGTCGTTAAAAAACACGATGGTGGGTTGTTTCCCCTCAGGGAGGCTGACAGTTTGGTTCAAAACAATCACCTGCATTGCAGATACTCACCGACGTCATGTTTACTCATTCACAGGAAGCCTCTGTCCTGGGTAACAACTTCTAATGTTTTTATTTTTCATTCTCTCTTAGGTTTATCTAATAAATGAGCTTATGAAAGTCGAATGGGGCTTTGATTAAGCATTTTAAAGGCTTTAGTTCTTAGTGTGCACATATCAGAGAGTTACAGAAAAGCTTTGGTTGTGTTGCTGTTTACATTACCAATGAATTTTTGTCAATTAGCTCAGAATTTTGTTGAAAGTAAATGTTGATATTGGTGCTTTGACGTGCTTAGCTGCACCCCCTCTCAGACTTTCTGTAGAAAGCCATTAAGCTCCCATTCACCTGAACCTCCTCCCCTTATAGATACCCCTCTCCCGCTTAAAGGTAGCATATTAGAGCGGTGCACCGATACTGAGAGCCAACAGGGGAGAAGAAACAGTTTAAGGTCTGCAGGCTCAAAACAAATCTCAGTACTGTACTATAATTAAACAGTTGATTGTATAGCCATATGTTGAACAGTGACTTCATCTTTCCCTGGTAGCTCCAGCTGTTAACACATCCCTTTGACGCACAGCAGCAGTATGAGTGTGTCATATATTGTTTACAGGTTCTGTAAAAAATAGACATGTTAGGAATTGACAGTGTAAGAAAGAAGTGTATTTAAAAAAAGCCCACAGTTTGATGGTTTATTAAATGCATGAATGTTTATTAGGTATTTGAAGATGAATGAGGTGGAAGATGTGTTTCATGCTCCTAACTCCTCCAGAGTGAAACAGGACAGCATTAATACACTTTGGTTGTGCACAGGAGTCTTATATTTAAATGATTGTTTTAACATGACAGTTATGTCAGCAGTGTATGTCTTCCTGTCAAGTTGTAAAATACTGAACCACCTTATTATCAAACCATGGATTTTTGTACCTGAGAAACAAGAGGAGAAAAGGAGGCAGCAGCATTGTTTATATTGGACAGAAATAGCTGAGCAACTGTACTAACTAAAGTTACACCGATTTGAATTGCCAGAGAGACCGGAGGTAGTAAAGTGAAAGACATGTCATATCTCCTCCGGGCAGATCAGTTGGCTGCTGTCACTGAGGTGAGTTTCGACACCCCTCTCAATCACACCGTTTTAGTTTCATGGTTTGCTTTCAAATAGAGTGTGGTCCATTGAAACTGTTTTAATGTGTTTGATTGGACAGTTAAGTAAAGTCGAATGGTCAGTTCACCCAAAGGAAGGAAGTTTTCTTTTTGATCTCTTACCCTTTAGAGGTATCTAGGCATGCAGATAGTTTTTATTGTTGTTGTTCTAGTTATGTGTGTCTCAGATTTCAACTGTTTGTTTTACTCGCAAAATGTGAACTATACTCTTTTATCCAGTAACAGAGACATTCTTTTAATAATTAATTAATCGTTTGAGCCATTTTTTTAAATAACATTTTACAAAAAGAAATCCTTGCTTCTTAAAAGTGACTAATTTTACTGATCTTCTTTGTCATTGTAGACTTACTATCCTTATTTTGTACTATTGATTTGACAAGACCCTATTTTCACTATGTTCTGAAATATGATAGGCTAATCATGAAGGTCATTCGCACATATCAAAACATAATCAATACAAACATTTCAATTAGCAGCAGCCCTAAACATATTCAGTGTTTAGAGCCACACATACTAAATGTCTTTCACCCCTGTTTTATGGGGATGGTGGAATACACCTCAGACACATGTCCAAAAAAAAAACACCGATCTTTGTGGATAGGCGGAGGATAGTAAATAAGTATATTATATTATCAAATGTGTTGTGTCATTTGGGTGAACTGACTGACAGACTCTTAGATGCTGAATTGAAATGAGACTGTAGGCCTCATCGTCAAAAGAAGCTCAGAATACTAAACTAGGAAACATGTCTGATTCAGATCAGGCAAACCTATTAGATAGAAGTTTTTCAAGCACTTGCTCTAAAGTTGCCTGGTTAGAAAGTGATGGCTTTATGATAAGAGCCAATCAATATGGATGTACTGAGAATAGTACATCTGAAAGTGCCTTAAAGAAATGACGGGTTTTGGCAATGAGAGCTTTAACTTTTAACTTCTCATGCAAACTCAATATTCCAGCACAGCTCACATTAAGCATCTTTGTTCATTCAAGTATATAAATAGCTCCACTCTAATCCTGCTGGCGCTTCATATACGGGAGACTAGTTCAGGTCTTTGACCTCCAATCCACACATTTCATGCTCCCACTTCCCCTTCGAGCAGCGAGCAAAACCTCTGCTTACTTTCAAACCTAATCTTAAGCCAACAGCCAATACACACAAGTTGTGTGTGTGTGTGTGTGTGTGTGTGTGTGTGTGTGTGTGTGTGTGTGTGTGTGTGTGTGTGTGTGTGTGTGTGTGTGTGTGTGTGTGTGTGTGTGTGTGTGTGTGTGTGTGTGTGTGTGTGTGTGTGTGTGTGTGTGTGTGTGTGTGTGTGTGTGTGTGTGTGTGTGTGTGTGTGTGTGTGTGTGTGTGTGTGTGTGTGTGTGTGTGTGTGTGAGACAGCTCTGCTATGCAGGGGGACTTGAAGTGATGGCCTTGTCCTGACTGGCTTTGATGGACACTCTCATCAGGCTTGGATGAGAAGTAAATGGAATAGGTTACAGCTGAATGCAAAGGGAGAGAGTGGGCTTCTCTTAGGACCATAATATTCTGACCAAGCATCCTGCACAACCTCTCAAGCCCTAAACATCCGATACTGTGGAGTGCAGTGGACGGTTTATATGATTGCATGAAACTGCATGTGGACCCTCCTCATCTATAGATGGGTTTCGCCTGTCAGTGCCATTGGTTCAGCTGTATTCAAGTCAGTGTGCAGTGGAGCAGCTTGTGTGTCCCTTCACACATTTCTTGAATGTAAACCGGCCATTAATTCAGGGGAAGAAGATTTCCCGAGATATGTTCCTCGATTTTACATCTAATGTGTTTATCACTGAGTGAGGTGGATACTGGAAATTATTGCAAATTGGATTTGGGAGAGTTATGAAACTGATTTATTTCAGTAAATCTAGTGTACATTTTCCTCCATTTTTAATTCACTTACAGCATATTTCCCACAAGCCAAGTGCATGCTGCTTGTGAAATACTAATAGATTATGAATAAAAATGCTAATCACCATTTGAGAATCACTCTAATAAACAGGTTCTTTGCTAAAAACAAACGACTCTGCCCGCTAAGGACAAGAGCATAACGACCTTCACAGCACAGCAAGAGCGGCCGATAATTTAAACATCCTGTTTAGAGTTGCAGATTAAGCCAAACACAATAAAGCACCTAAAAAATGCACACTTCAGTCCAGTGAAAAAAAAGCGGAAGCCTGTAGGTAAACAGATGAATAAGCGGATTTAGGCTGCAAGAAGGCCGTGAACGATTGCTCTCGCAGGGAAACCAACTATTTTTGTCGCACGCAGCGCAGAGCTGCCCCGCGTCTTTCCATAGTCCTGAGTCGACAGAGAGCGATGGACTGTCCCTTCCTCTCTTATCGGAGCTGCTGCAGCCCCACGAGGTCTGGCTGCACGCCTGTAGAGACAGCCTCTCTCCTTCTCCAAAGACACACGCACGCACGCACGCACGCACGCACGCACGCACGCACACACACACACACACACACACACGCACGCACGCACGCACGCACACACACACACACACACACACATATACATTGTTGCATGCACACTTGCTGTTGAATTTTACATAACTGCACATGGAGTCTTGTAGGGATTTGCATAAAATTAGGGGCTCACTTTTGTATTCATTTTTTTTTGAGCCAGGCGAGCATCCTTAATGTTGGGATGGCAATATTTGGTCAAACAGAAATAACTCAATAACTATTGGAAGGATTGCGATGAAATCTTTCGCAGCAGGTTAACATTTGTGGTTCAAAGTGAAATCACTCAGCTACAGCAGTTGGATAATTGATGCATTGTAGATAAACATTTTATTTAAGATTCCTTATTTTCATTATTGATTTATTTGTCAACTTTCAGTTAATTAATTAATTGGTTTTGTCTATACAATTTAAGAATGCAGTGAAACACAAATTCCCAGAATTTGAAGTGAAAATTGTTTTTTAAAACCCAACTTTATTGCTTTCCAAGTCACAAGGAGAATCAAATCTGCCTATTTGAGCAGTTGATCAATTAATTGTATCCTTGTTAATTGAAGAAGTTCATTTTCTAGTGAGCAACTATCTTTTTATTAATCATGTATTCTTTCCTGCGCTATCCAAGTTGCTACTTTTCTTTGCTCTGCTCTTCCGTCTTGTATTTTTTGGAGTATCATATACGTTTTTACTGTTGAATTACAAATCTATCATCAGGGTCCACAGTTTTACATTTTGCTCGAGTGCTGGGAGGAATGTCATGGTGCATGGAAAACTTTGACGAGCACGGAGTGTATCGCTGATATTTGATGTAGTCTTATCAGACTACTTCCTCTCACTTACACACAATATTCACATGTTTCCGTTTGTCACTCAGCATTTATTTGAATTTCTTAAACCCCTATGGCCACAGCTGAGGTGGGAGCATTGAGTCTCGAGGGGGTTTGATATGTTGATTTGAGCGGTTATTTATGTGCTGCTGCTGCATAATGACACCTTCTCTCTTTAATTCCAGATGTTTAAGACTACGTTATAATTTCCTACTTCTTGTACATTTGGCTTATTTTGGTCCTTCATGTGTCCTTTTCCTCTCTTCCCTCCATCTTTCCTACTTTTTCCTGTTTTCTACTCTCTCCCTCTGCTTGTTCTTATGTCTCCATTACTCATCTCTCTGTCTTCTGATTTATGTTTGCAATCCAGCCCTCTCAGGTAACTCATTCCTCGTTTGTGTTCTCTAAATACCCAAACTCTCTCTGCTTCCTTTTCCCTCAGTGTTGTTGCGTGAGGAGGTGGTCCAGCTTCAAGAGGAGGTCCACCTGCTAAGGCAGATGAAGGACATGTTGAGTAAGGACCTGGAGGAGACCCAGGGAGGCTGCTCCGCCAACCTGCTCTCAGCCACCGAGCTGCGCGTGCAGCTGGGGGACAGGGAGCAGGAGCTAGACCGCGCCAAGGAGGCCCTACAAGGTGAGGGGCCCACACAAGCATCTATTTCACCTACTCCATCCCTTAGTGTCCCTTCTTTCCAACAGCTACTAGAAAAACACAGAATATACAGCTGCCAAAGCTTTCACTTTGAAGTGCTAGCCTTACTTGAGTTCCATCAAAACAGCATATGTTGTAATGCCATGAAATCCACTTTATCTAACAAAAGAAAATCAGTCATGGTAACAATATGCAATGGACAAAAGCTATTTCAAAAATTTAAATAAACCGTATATGTTATATTTACAGTGTAAAACCAGAAGAAACATATTGTGACAATTATAACACAATTAAATTAAATCATCATCAGTCTAATTAATTATTTGCCAAATAGTGAAAAGTAGGACAACCCTTAGGTTTATCCTGATGTAAAACTGTTTGTTAATCATCTCCTAGGTGTTCCCACTAACTACCTAACTTAAATGTTTCATTATGAATTGTATACATTTTCTCTGTTGTGTTACATTTCTTGATATTAAAGATGCCAAACAATCGATGCAAATATGTCCAATAAGTCAGCTTCATTCAACCCAGTTTGCCCAAAAGTTAACAAGATCAGAATTATTATTTTTTAAGTATCTTGTTCTCATTGGAGCAACAGATGTTCTTTAATTCATGTAAAACAAACTAAATATAATAATTTAATGAAGATATTTTAACACATTTTAAGATCAACATAATTATGTACTATACTGTATATAGTGCATATTCTTCTGACTAGCTTCCAGTTTTAGGATTGAGTAGAAAAATACCAGTGGTATTAGCACGTCAAGATATTTGCTCTGCTTACATAAAATAAACAAAACCGTTCTCTCTAACACACAATTTCCCGCTATGTACACACAATTGTGGTTCAGTCCGCTCACTTTTCTTAACTTTAGCAAACAAGAAGAAAAGTCTTACCAAAGAACCTCTGGACTGTGGGGAAATGTCTTTTTAAATCAGTTTTAGGGTGAATCTCTCAGCCAGTTGTGTCTTGTAAGTGCCAAAGTTTAGAAATGTGTTTACTCAAGTGGCAACAGAAGAGAAACCTGATCCTTCATGTTTGGATCTCATTTTTGTGTGCGGCTTCACCAGAGATACTGTGTGTGTTCCTGTGTTTCGACATTGTTCAGTCTCAGAGATGGGTGTCGCCCCTGATGAGCAGCCAAGTAGACTCCAGGTTCACCTCATTTTAATGAACATCCATCAATCGTGCAATAGAGGCTTTACTCTGAAATATTAATGTGGTATCGATGTGGAATGGATTGTGTTGAATTGGATTGTTTTTATTTCTTGTATGAAAACAAATCCGACCATAACGATACCCAACATTTCTCTGTCGGGAGGGGAGTAAAATAAATCAGTCCGTCATTAAGAATAATTACCTGCCACAAAAATACAAGTTAGGATAGAAACTCAGTGGTTGATTTAGTTTACAGCTCCTGTTTTGCATATTTCTCCGCTGCTCTGAGTTGCAGGTGGTAATCTTGAAACTCGTAAACTGGGTTGTGTAACTGCTGCAAAACAGGTTTGAATGTCAAGTGCAAATTCTGAACGTTGTCTGGAGGAATGCCTCCTGAATGACACATGTTCAGCTATGAAAGTACAGGTTCCAGTCTTGCCTCGACATTGAGTACAAACTGTCAGAGCGTTGTTTTTAGTTTTGCTTGCAGCAGTTGCATCATAGCTGTTGAGTTTTCTCTGCAATAAGTTGAAAGCAATCTGATCCAATTGGTCTTCTCTGGAAAGAGTCTCCACATGACAGCCAGAACAGTTCAATGTATGAATTCACAAGTGCTAACCTACAGTATCTTTTAAGTGATTACATATTTGTCTCTGAAAATAATCCATCGTTCTCATTAACAGAAGACACAGGGCCATCTAGTGGCTCCCTGCTGCATCTGCAAAACTTTATTTCTGATTTAAAAGAGCCAAATCTCATTGACATTTATTTGTTTTGTTCAGTTTGACAGTGAGATTGTTTTGTAAAAATGCTTCATGATTAACAGGATGTGAATGCATTATTGTTGTGTGTCGCAGCTATGAAAGGTGACCGGAAGCGTCTAAAAGTGGAGAAGTCAGACTTGATGAGTCAGATGCAGCAGCTGTACACAACACTGGAGAGCAGAGAAGAACAGCTGCGAGAATTCATACGCAACTACGACCAACATCGAAAGGTAGCAGCCTACTCCATTCATTATTTTAGGCTTACACTTTTTATAGGTGTAGAAGTGCAGAAGAATTAAGAAACACTCCGTCACATTAGTTATCCTACAAATAAAGTACCTAAAGTCCACCTTTTTAAGCTATTCACATGTTTCATGAATAGTTTATAACGCACTATAGAGTATTTGTGATTAGATGTATTTATTCATGTATTTGTCGACAACCATCACTTCTTCTGTAGACACACATAAGCAGGCAGATGTATAAATAAGAAGGACAAACAAATTCGTATATATATTTCTTCATTGAAGAATGTACTGTGACATGTTACGTACATGAAGACACTTCATAAATACATGATGTGTTAAAAACCCTTACTTGAATTTGAGTGTGTCTCTGTGTGTGCTTGTTCTGCAGGAGAGTGACGACGCAGTGAAAGTCCTGGCAAAGGAGAAGGACATGCTGGAGAGGGAGAAGTGGGACTTGAGGAGGCAGACCAAAGAAGCCACGGAGCAGGCCAACATCCTGCGCTCTCAGATGGACATGAAGGAGAACAGGGTCAAAGAACTGGAGGCCGAGCTGACCATGGTGAGTCACCTTCGCATAGACACAGTAACGGCGTGGTTCAATTAACAATTCAAGCACACAAAATGTCCCTTCAACATCAATATCTGGTTCATGCATGTAAACAAGGTGTTTGCAATCATCCTCCCTTTCTCAAAGCATTTATTCCTACTCCGGGCTCTTTTCCTGTGTTGGTTTGTCCCTCGGAGGTACAGTTGTCAGTCTGTGTGTCATTAATCTCTCTCCTCCCTCGGCGAGTCACAGCCACCCACAGATCCTCACATCAAGCTGCACAGATCACATTTGTTGGTAAATCGGTGCTGCATCGCTGTCAAGAAACAGAACCACACAATGTTTTTCTACCAACTCTTCTCTTCTCTCCTCTTTTGTTCTATTGTGTTCCCTCATCTTCACTTCTTTTTTCCCTAACAATAATCTTGTTGTTTACAAATGTTTCCTCAATCAATGGACACTGAATGCTTTTATTTAGAAGCTTTCACAAAAGAATCCTGAGAAAAACATGAAGTAGGATTAGAATATTGCCTGTTGGCTAACTTCAAAGTGAGATGCTGTTATTCAATATACAATATTTTGTTGTTGTCAACATTCCCATGAAAAGACCAAAAGCAATAACATGTCGCTTCATTTCTCAACACCTTCCATTTCCCTCCCTGCTGTGGCTCTTAGCCTCAAGCCAAGTTGTTTCTGTTGGATGCCTTAATCTTTATAGACAAGTGAAACGGGCAAACCAGGAGGAGATGATTTATTGGCTGGAAACCATTTTTTAACAGCGGATTAAAACACATTTGGTGCTCTATTGGGAATTTACAATATTGTTATTTTTATTATTATCCAGGAAAGACAAATTGGATGCATAGAATTACATTTTTAATCTACAAAAAATATAAGCAATTTCATGTATATCTCATGCTTAGTTTCTGTTTCTTGTGTTTCCCAGGCAAAGCAGTCTCTGGCAACGTTGACGAAAGACGTACCTAAGCGCCACTCGGTTGCCATCCCTATGGAGCCGGTGGTGAACGGCAGTCAGGAGTGGGTGATGCAGGCCGACCTGCCGCTCACGGCCGCCATTCGGCAGAGTCAACAGACCCTCTACCACGGACACAGCACAGACAGACAGGGTGAGCTCTCCTCTCCACTCTGCCTCTTCCTGCTGCTTGGTGTTGCTTTTACAGACTAAACATACTAACACAGGGGTTTCCTGGAGATTTCCCATACTAACAGGGTTTTTTCTCAACATGTGTGAAAATGTGTGTGTGTGGCACATCTAGCTGTGGTCAGGATCAGCCCCTGCCACTCTCGCCAGCCCTCTGTCATCTCCGACGCCTCGGCAGCCGATGGAGACCGCTCGTCGACGCCCAGCGACATCAATTCACCTCGGCACCGGACGCACTCCCTCTGCAATGTAAGAGCTGCCTGGCCCCCTCGAGCAAGTAATCACACCTCCACACTTTCTATATAAGTACCTCCCTCCTCTTCGTCTTCTGCTGTTTGTGTCTGTCCCTCTGTTCTGTCGGCCTGCTGGGTTTCAGCCTGCCTGCTGGGTGGTGGCGCTGATGTTATTTTGCATTTAAGTCACTTGAAAGCAACATATGGACATTTTGGGAAATATGCTTATAATTCTTCCTGCTGAGGAAGACAGCCAGCAGCCCGACTCCAAGTAGTTACCGTGCAAAGCCAAGAAGCAGTGCAGCTCAGAACAGTGTGAAATACACATATGGTTCCTTTTAAGATAAGATGAAATAAGAAGTACTTTATTAATCCCAATTTGGGAAATGTTTTTGTTGCAGCAGCATACAACAAAACAAGGCATTGCACATAATACACAATTAAAAGAGTAGAAATAAACTATTCTAAAATATAAACATCTCAAAATAGAAATAGAAATAAACCAGCATTAGAGAGTAACACAAATATACAGATGTTACACTTAGGTGTTAGATACTTACTTGTAAATCAGTGAGCTTAAAGCAAACAGCAGACATTGGATTTTTGTGATTTACGATGCGTCAGAGTACAATACACTTATACAGCTGTCGTAGATAAGGACAGCTGTAATGCATTTGTCATGATTTTCTTTATTGCTTAAGATAAAAAAACAGAGAGTTGACAACTTTGTGTACACAGCCGAACGTAAAGCAAATGGAACAACGTAAGACATAGCAACCTAGCTAATATTACTTACCCTGCTCATTGCCTGCTTGCCCTGCTCCTGGCAAATCCACTGTTAGCTGCTGACAGTAGCTTGATATTTACTGTACAGTAATCATTTATTCAACCAGTAATAACATGAATAAGCACATTTCCCAAAATGTCGAAGTATTTATTTAACTCTGTATCTGAGAGGACAGATTCAAGCTTCCTGTGTGCTCTGCCCCGTTCAGTCCATGGAGGATCTGGAGGACCAGAAGCGTAAGAAGAAGAAGGAGAAGATGACTCTGGGATCTCTGTCGCGGGTTTTCGCTCGAGGCAAGCAGCGCAAGTCACTGGAACCCGGCCTGTTTGATGGTACAGCCACCCCTGATTATTACATAGAGGAGGATGCCGACTGGTGATGCTGAGTGTGTGAGCCTGCGTGTGTGAACCTGCGTGTGTGTGTGTGTGTGTGTGTGTGTGTTAAATTTGTGTGGATATCCACCTGGCTTTAACTGTGTGTGAAGAGTGTTTGTGTGTGAAGGTGGGAGGCGGGTACATTTGAAAAGAGAAGCCTGAAAGAGACTGCTATCCCCTTAAATGTACAGTATATTGCCCTTAAATTGTATGTTTGTAAATTAGATATATATTTATAGATGTACATGTATGCATATGTATATATGTTTACATGCGTATAAATATATACATGGGGTTACTATTATCTGTAGACATGTTAATGCTGTATTATCTTCCAAATGTCTTTAATGTTTTGTTTTTTTATAACTGGAGACTTGAAGGACTGCTGTTCATATGTAAATACTGTAGGAGTTATTGTGAATCTAGTGTTTTTAATGTAAGTGTCATTTGGCTTTTGTTACTTTACAGTTGCTTTTTTTATGCTTTGCTACATTGATATCTAATGTTCTTCTTATTCCCACTCTTGGCCTATTTCTTATTATGAAAGAGATATTACCTGATTGGCTTCAAAAGAAATTCATCACTTGGAGTTATAATTGGCCAAAGTCTGTGGTTTTATGAAAAATAATACTTAGTTTGAGAGGCTTTGCTGGTACATTGTTGCTATCAAGATTTGTTTTATAAATGCTGGCTCACAGTATTTAAACATATGTGGGTGGCAGGGATTTTTTTCGTGAAGGTTTCCTTTTCAATTTTATGATTAACATCATATTATCAGTTCCTATAAATAACAACTGGCCAAGGGTTTAAAGGGCAAACATCCTTAAAAAATATAGTTGCCCGGACCTGAATGCAAAAACAAAATATTAACAGTGATGCTTAGTCAGGCACACCTCTGCTCTGCACTGCAGTAGAAACACATGTGCAAGTGCCAAAGGTTGAACAGTCATCTTTAGAAGACCTGCGTATCATTCTGTCACTGTTAGCACTAGCCTATCATTGTTTATGTCTGACTCATATCTTACTGAGCGCTATCTAACATGCCAATATAAGACGATGGAATGTGCATTACACACCTGCATGATCCCTCTTTGTTGCTTTGATTAGATGTCCATTCATTGCCAATCAAATTAATAATATCCACAACCCTGTGTTGCTCCTGTGTTACCTTTCCCCTTAGCTGAGTTATCTCTCCTTGCATTATGAATGCACGGTCCCTTTTGCCTTTTTTTGTTGTTGCTTTGTGTAGAATCCCTCCTCATTTATGCAAATGTGGCTCTAATAATTCTATGTTAAATGCTTTGTAATTTAGGAGATGTTGCATAAAAGATTAAATCTATTGAAGTATTTTATTTAAAAAGACAAAAAGTAGAGGTAACTTCAAATATTTATCTGCTGCAGCTGTTGCAGCCAGATGTCGAGGAGGTTTTAGCATTTACAAAAATGAATTATAATTGAAATGAAATCTTATTTTAAAAATAAAACTAGTAACTGAATACATCCTATGTGGCAGTTTTCTGTTCCATGAGTAATCTTGTTCTTGTGTCCCAGTCTAATGTGTCTCTCCCTCTCCTGCCATTTCTAATGGCAGCTCTCTCCCGCCCGTGAGTAACTCCCCATCTGTGAATACCTGCTGTCTGTTCTGCACTCTGGGGATTATTCATATCACTCAGGTCCATTGAAAAAGAAAAAAAAGATCCAGTTTGTATAATTTCTCTTTAAATAAAAGAAGCGGTGGACTTTGCATGCAGCGTTTCTGTCAGCATGTGGAGACGGGTCAGGTAAACACGCAGAGTTCATCCTGGATTTGTTGGTTCAGTATGAATCAGTGTTTTCCTGCTGTTGAGAAAGGTGGTTAATGGGCAGGAGCATGATGTTATATGAATAATCCCTGTGTCTCTAATACATTCTCCTAATGGTCTAAAAGTCTCTTCATAATCATCAGATAGTTACTTTTGTTACATATAGTATTTTAACAACTTCACTAAACTTGATATAGAACTCACTGGACCGCTACGCTCTCATGAAAAATCTAAATGGGTGGTATTTCATATGGACTTCAGGTTTAGATGGACACAACTATCGTTTTGTTTATGTGATGTCTTAGTTGGTAAGCTTATTCAAAATACATAAGTCATTCAAAGACACAGGAAGTGAAGTTTCAAATAATTATTCTGGCTCCACCTAGTGGCAATTCGGTGGCATTTAACACATATTTAAAAACGGTTTAAACTACTTTTCATCCAGTTTACTCTGACTCTGATCAATAAATAAACACAAGCAGAAGGCAGAAATCTAAATGCCTGTGGACAAGAGATTCTAATATCTTACTGTAGCAAGGATTTTGCGGCTCTGTATCGTTACACCTTGAAGTGGGGTGTCTTTTTTATGTAAACACCCACTGATTTTGATGTTAACCCTTCTCCAGAAGAGTCACTTCTTTTGATTTCCATATCCCTCTGACCCTGAACCCCTCCTGTATGCCACACCATAACTTCTCCTGACCAATCCAGACTCTGACAGCCTCACACAGCAGAGCCTGTCTGACGGAGAGGAGCAGCTGGACCGCCTCCAGCAGGCCGAGCTCACCAGAAACACATGCATGTCGCAGTGGAGGGCAGGTGCAGTGCAGGCCTGGCTGGAGGTTGTCATGGGGATGCCCATGTACATCCGAGCCTGCTCTGAAAACGTCAAAAGTGGCAAGGTACGCCTTTGGTAAAAGTGGCTTTTGTTTGCTTTGTGGTTGAGAGTGCTGTATCAGGCTGTTCTTGTTTGATGAAGACCTGTATTTGTGCTCTTTAGGTGCTGCTAGGCCTGACAGATGAGGACTTGGAGCTGGGTCTGGGTATCAGTAACCCAATTCATCGCAGAAAACTGAGGCTGGCCATTGAGGACTACAGGAGAGCTGAAGGAGACCAAGGGTGAGCTGCAACAAATTAAACATTGAAAAACATTTAGTTGTTGTATAAAAGGTTTTCAAAGTAGGTTTAATAAAGTACTGTAATTAAGGACTTGGGCATTGTCTTTACATACTACTTCATACTTCTACTCCATTACAATCCAGATTTAAATATTGTCCTTTTTGTCCCACTGGATTTATCCGACAGCTTTACAGTGTACAATAGATATTTAAATATAATTAACCTAACTTCATCATATAAAATAGTTTAAATTCTACAACATATCCAGAACTCTGCTGCCCGCCTCCTCACCCACACCCGCTCCCGAGTCCACAACACTCCCGTCCTCCAGAACCACCACTGGCTCCCCGTCCGTCAAAGAATCGACTTCAAAGTCCTCCTCATTACTCACAAAGCCCTCAACAACCAGGCCCCCCCTACCTCACATACCTGCTGCACCACCACACCCCTTCCCACTGCCTCCGCTCATCAGAAGCCAACCTGCTATCCATCCCCACCCGCATCAATCACCGGACCTGGGGGGACAGAGCCTTCTCCGTCGCTGCCCCCTCCCTCTGGAACTCACTCCCACAACCCATCAGAGACTGCCCTGACCTCACCACCTTCAAAAGACTCACAAAAACTCACCTCTTCAATCTGGCTTTTCATCTGTGATTGTTGTTATATTGCTTGATTTAAATTTGACTTCAACTATATGTATTTGTTGTTCTTTTCTTTTCACTATCTCTGTAAAGCGACTTTGAGCACCTGTAAAAGCGCTAACAAAATTAATCTATTATTATTATTATTAAATTATTAGTAAAATCAATATCATATTTAATAGTATAACATGATCAGAGAGCATTTGTAAGCATCATTGGCACTTGTTTGAGACTGTAATTATATTTAGCTTATGATATTTGTAATTCACGACTTAACCTTGTCAAGGGTTTTTTCACAGTGTTGTGTTGCTCCTTTCACTTCAGTACATTATATTACATTTTCTACCATCATTTGTGGTGTCTAATCATCTTCCAGGCTATCCAAAGCGTCTGAGTTGGACCATCACTGGGTTGCCACATCGTGGCTGAATGACGTGGGATTGCCTCAGTACTCGCAGCCCTTTCAGACCCATCTGGTGGACGGCCGGGTGCTGAACTCTCTGAGCCGCAGAGACCTGGAGAGATTACTCAACATCAGTGACCAGTTCCACCAAACCAGTCTCCTCCTGGCTATCCAGCTCTTGCAGATACTCAACTTTGATAAAGAGGTCAGATTATTCAACAAAATTCTCATGAGATTAGAAGAAATGTATTGATAGTTCCTCAACTACCCTCACAAAACTACACATCATTTTCATTATTATCCACCAGACCTGTAGCTTGAGTGCATGATCTCAGCAGCCTTCATCCTACCCTGACCTCATTCTGTATGTCTTCAGACACGGCCACACAAGAGCTTGGGCATTGAATGATGTTGTCTTTTTGCAGGCCCTGCAGGCACAGCGGGCAAAATGTGAGGACCAAGACCGAGAGCCCATTGTTTGGACGAGTCACAGAGTAATGAAGTGGATCAGAGACATAGACCTCAAGGTGGGTGGGAGGTCAGGGACGGTATCTCCCGTTGCTCCGGAGATTTTTGGTGCAGATTGGATGCAGATACCACCCTCTTGTGTTGCCACATCACTGCTGAAACAATACAGAAGAAAACACAATAGAGAAAATAGCAAAAAATCATTCTGGATTCACAATGAGTTTTTGTTTACCCATCATTAGACCCTCATTCTTCTTGTTATGACCAGCTTATTTTTAGTTAACTTTTAGCTCTTGAAAGTAAAACACTATATGTCTGTGCCCCTGGCAACAAACAAAACGTTTTGTTTTAGCTCGGCCATGACTGTGGTTGGCTGATATTTGCGATATAATGTGACCTTTCTACCAGTATTGTTTCCTGCAGGACTGTATGTAAAGTCTGACGTCTGTGTGTGGGTTCTCTATGTGCTCCTCAGGAGTTTGCAGACAATCTTCAGGGTAAAGGGATTCATGGAGCTGTGATGGTTCTGGACCCGTCCTTTGACTCAAACGCCATGGCAAAAGCTATTGGGATCCCCAGCAACAAGCACATGCTGCATCGGCACCTGTACGAAGAGATGAAATCACTCGCCGTCCCTAACAGGTAGTTTAAAACCCTGTGTTGGTGCATAATGTTTACTCTTTGTTCTACTCTTTAAAGCAACATGTGATTTTGTTCTATGCCATAAAACATATATCCATTCCAGTTGTACCAGGATCTTGTAACCCTGTGAAAATAATGTTATTATCTAAGGATTACATTTAAACATCATGTACATACATTCATTTGTAATTCCTTGTATTCACAGCAGTGCAGAGCAGGGCAGTGAAGTGATCACTTCTTCCTCACCTGTGGCTGTAAAGCGCTTTGCTGAGGAGAGGGTGTCGATGAGAAGATCAGGCAAGGTATCATTTCATTTCACAATCAAATCATATTATAGGAGCAGATATTGTGCATACATATACAAATATATATTTGTTCAGTTTTGTTTTAATGCACCTTTAGCAGCTGCAATTTCCTCCCAAACAACACATGCATGAATACAGAAAAAAAGGCAAGTCTAAGTTTTGAGAGAAAGTTCCTTCCTCATGTAGGATGTTTTTTCTCATGGGAGTTGATGTTGAAAATGGGATTTCGAAAAGGGGGGGAAGTAAAAATGTTTCAAGGTTTGGAAAGGTGACAGATCTAGGAAATGTGAATTGTTTGTCGCAGCATGATTTAACAATATGGATATAAAAGAAGTATGTGTAGAGTGATTAAAAGACTATGACTGTATTTATTTATCCACATTAGTGAGTAGTCTGCAATGTAGTGTTCGTTTTTAGACAGTCTCACTTCTATTTAACTGACAATATGTGGATTTGATTATTTTCTTGATTTGATTTCTGACTTTGAGAAATAAAATCCCCATTTTGTTTAATGTCCCTTTGTTTTCCCAGAGTCCGCTGAGGTTACGTGCTAGCAGCCACTCTGTGGAGCGCGGTCTGGGCTTCCACGGCGGCTGCGGCTCCCCGCCCCGAGAGGCCCGGGTCCAGGCCGTCCCGCGGGCCAGAGGCAGCCCCATGCACACCTTCAAGAGTGTAGAAATCACCAACGTGTGATCAGCCATCCAGATCGCTCACACTGTTACCATTGTTTACATTGTTATTGTATTATAGTTGTTTTCTACTGAGAGTGACCTACACTCGGCATCGTTGGACTTTAAAGATGAAGTCTTAAAGGGATGTACCCCTTAATAATTCCAATATATTATTATTTTGTCCAATATAAAAACAAAACTTGAATAGAAACAAAGATCATTTTGACCTGATAATTGTAAATATAAGGAAGAGGGAGATAATTTAGTTTGTTGGATTTCCAACTAAATGTCCGGATGAGTTTCTTATGACAAGTTTATAGAAGGCTTACATTTTGAATAACCTCCAGAAATAGCTGAAAAAAGTGTTGTTCTTCTTTGATGCCTTATACAAACAGGTCTCACAGCACTGTTGTGTCCTGCTCTAACTACTTCTTACATTAAATGAAAAATAATACGTGAGATGTAGGAAAAAAAGTCATAACATATTTTACGGTAGAGATACATATCCTCTGTTATTCTTCTGAGGAGACATGAACTGTGTGCACTGTGCAGTCAGAAGCCCTACACTGAGGCGTTATCTGTAATGTTATTAATACTGCAACAAATAGTAGTCAATTTTTTATATTTTGGAAAGTTAAAACTGGTAAAAATCCATATTTTTCTTACAGTTACAGTATGTTTTCATTTAATTAAAGAACAGCTTCCTTTTGGTTTCCATTGAATGTAAATGTTTTGAAATTTGTATTGAAAGAACATCCCACAGTATAGATGAAACACACTGTTGAATGTTGAGTTATGAAAGTGATAATGTGTAAAGATTTAAGCAATTGATACTTGTTTATACTGTATAAGCACTGAAGAAAGGGAATTCTGTGACTTATATTATAAAGTAAATAGAGAGAATGTAATGGTATATTTTGTAAGGTTTAATCATGTTTTACAACACACAGTAAAGTTTCTTCCTGAGCATGAAAACACACGTGTGAGATATACAAATAGAAAACAGGTTTTCTGTGACTTTCTGGGCAACTGGTTTATTAACCAAGGGCACACTTGTATAAGCGGGAAGATTAGACCAGTTCAAACCTGTATGGAAACAGAAGGGAAGGCAAATGGTGTTTGCTATGATGTTTAGCTTCCCCAGCTGTCAGAGATTTCATGTACGTCGACATTAAAGCTGAAATGATGGTCAACTTGTCTATCACAGCCCTGTCATTGTTATTTTTCAAGACAACTTCATTTAAGTCTCTCATAAACATTAACCAAGGGATTCATTATCCTCTGAAAATGTTGAAGTGACATGGATTTGTAGTGCAGATAGGGCTATTTCAGAAACATGGCAGAAAGTGACCAAGAGTCATGTTAGTCACATAGCTTTTTGAAAAGATTTTGACTTTATTATTGCATCAAAAATACGTTTTTCATTTTGTTCACATAGGATTGAATGATTGTTTAACCTTTAAGTGAGTCTGAGACGCAGTCACACCTTAGAGAACCATATCAAGGATACCTTTAATTAAACAAGACCAAAAACAAATATAAAGAAACATTTTGCACACAAAAAAAACCTCATGATAGCCAGAACATAGTTCAATGATTAACAGCCACAGTTAAGGCATTAAACCCAAAACCATTTGGTCCCCTGATTTATGGGATAGGGGACCTATACTGTAGTTATGCTCATGCCTAAAATCATAACCTAGATTAGCCTCTGCTAAATTACAACAAATACAACTTTTATCATGTCACATTTTCTTCACATTTTCATTGATCAAAGCTTATATTTATTGTATTTGGTAACAGCAATTGACAAAATCATTCTCACCACAAAAAATCTACTAATATCCAGCTTTTTATAGTATCCCACCATCCTTCTCAGCAGATGTGGTTTGCCTAGTTTTAACATTTTTTTAAGCAATACAAATACTAATTTGTATACTGTACATGTTGAAATGAAATAAAAAAGGGAGATTGAGCATATTCATCTCCAAAAAAACGGGTCAACTTCATCCGCTGATGAAGATTGTGTGAAACCATCGATCTGATGTAAAGCCACAGCTACTGTTTTTGTGAGCTGTGTACTCTTGATGTTCGTGAAGATACAACTCCCTACTATAAATAATAAGAGTTGAATACCTAAGACCAAAACACGTTATAATAGTTGATTTTCCTCTACTACACAATAAAGGAAAACGTTTGCAAAGCCAAGGCGGGCTTTAATTTGGATTTAATACAATTGTAACAATAATCATAAGAGAAAAAGTGGTTGAGAGTTTAAGTGATTGTCAACCAAAATTCTAATATTACCTGTTTCTAGCTTCTCAATAGTGAGGATTGGCTGCATTTATGTATCTGATATGATATATGGTCAAACAAAAGAAGCTGGTTGAAGACTTCGGGAATATTTTAGATATGTTGTATATAATGGACTATTGCATTAAAAAAAAAAAGCAATAGATGGACTTATAAATATCTGAAAAAAATAATCACTGCAAAAAAATAAGATAATTGTTTATTTTAGAAATATTCTGAATGAAATTAGGTCATACATAACATTAAAGTGTTGACTAACTACCTTATCTTTGTTTTGTTGTAATATATTGTTCTATTGTTCTGTTTCCGGGTGTGTCCTTGTCCCACTCACCTGTGTCCCCAGAGGAGGTCAGCGGGCGGCGCTAGGACCATGCGGGGGACAGACCGTCGGTACAACCAGGGGAGGGAGGTTTCACTACGACTGGAATTTGAACAAAGTTCTTCTTAAAACATTCTTACCTGTAGCGGATAACCTTTTATTTATTAATAGAGCGCTTTTTGATTTAAAATCTCAGTTGAACAGGGCGTCGGTTTTTCGCATCTATGTCGTCTTCCTCTTTTCTCGTAAGATCTTCCTGAAAACACCTGCGTGCTTCAGGTAACTCACCAGTGAGGAGTGAAGTTTCTGGGCAGTGAGCGGCGGAAAGGTAAGGCCTCTTCCAGATCTCCTCCACAAGGTTAGACGATAAACACTATCAGATTCACCAGAGCCAAGGAATGCGATGTGAATTTATTTTTATGGTTTTTGTTTTTTTTGTGTCCGGATAAATGAGTTTTTAGTGCAGCTCCATTGAGGGGACGTGTCCTCCCTCTGAGGTCCCTTCCTACTTCACAATCAATAAAACCGCTTGCTGAAGGACGTAAACACTCGAGAAATATTTCATTTGTTGTAGCAAATAATGTTACCCATTTGAAAGCCGAAAAGAAGCAGACGGCAGGCCTGTCATTATAGAAGGATATGCTGCTTTTAATGCTGGAAATGTCCTGATGTTGAACAGGACACACCCATGCACACCGCCCAGCCATTAACATACAGGAAAGATCAAGTTTTTTTGTGATAAGAAAAAAAACTGTATAAAGGATACAGAAGGTCAGCATGCCAACTAACACAATTACAGACAGACTACAGCACCACCATACAATCTGGTTACCATGTTTTACCTTTATTATGGAGGTTGTACAGCAATTATGGTTATAAATGAATGCAGGTCATCAACATTCTGTCAGTATGTGTGAAGCTGATGAGGATACAGGTCCCTAAATGGCGTAATTTAGCAAAAGACACAAGTCCATCAGTTATCCTGATGTTTTATTCAGTGATCAGACGCATACTAAAGAAGGGCTGCACAGATCCAGCTGCTTTGGCAAATCCACTTCTTATTTACTGTAGAGAAACCTAACAATACTGAATCAATAGCATTACTTCCTGTTTTACAGACATACTCTGTTTTGTATGAAACATTTATATACAGTATGGTAAACGTGGGAAAGGGATGTCATTGAAAACCTGAACCATGACTTCCTGAAAGTGACTGATTGTAGAATTGTGTAGTCATTTCAGAATTAATATTTGTTCTATTTAATAAAGACGGTACTTCTCCATGTAGTGTATTGGATCAGAGCAGTTGCACCGGGTCTTGTACTTTATTAATAACCACAGAAAGCGTGTTTGAGAGCTGTGTAATCACAATATTATCAAAAAATGATATATTACAATAGGACACATTCACACATGCAAAATAAACTCTTCTATTCAAATACATTTTCTTAAGTCAAGAATAACAGCAGGACATTTAACACCTGACTTTAGTTTTCAGGTGAGGCCTTGTTGTTACAATAACAACTGTGCCCCGCAAACAACAGCGGGGAGGAACTTCAATCACTGTGAGCCAAAGGGACGTCAACAACCAATAAATGTAACAATCTAATACTTTTAAAATATTTTTTAAAACAACATCAAATTAAAACAACTCAATATTAAAATAATAAAAAAATTAAAACTGTTTTTTGCCATACACAGCAAGAAAATAGTTTAGTTAACGTGTTTAACATTGTACACAAAATACCACTTTATTAGTATTTACAACACAGACCTATGTTATCTTATAGACATTTCAATATCAATGAGACATTTAATAATCTGCAAGAAAGGAACTAACGCCAGCTTCAGTATCACAAGTGAATGCACTGTGATTCTGGTGCCTGTGTATCAATACCGTTTTCCACTCTTTAAATCTTGTGTACAGAGAGTTCAGGATCCTATATTAGATTCATCTGGCTTCCCTGCCCTTCCCATCATTTCTTTGTCAGAATAAGAGGAAGTTTAATTGCAGGGTGTGATCCTTACTAAGGGTTGGACTAATTCATTTGCATTTTGGCAAATTGGTCACTTGCTTAAATACTTTGTTCTTTAATAATGAATCAAAATGCCGTTTCCAAAGTCAGGACAGATTGAGTAAAGAATGTGTTTTACTTTTTTTCCCCGCACCTATTGCATGGAAGAATCTACAGAATGTTCCTAAAATTCAAAGCATGGTAACCCCTAAACGTGTTTATGTAAGAATGATTAACTCTTAAACTTTACAATAGGTACAAAAAGGGAGATAGGCTACTTACTGTGAACAACCTATTTGTTGTATTTCCAGCTGACTCTCTGTATCACAAGGTATCACAAGTCATTTATCATCCGTCACCTCAAACATTTGCCCTGAAGTGTTCACATGCAATGTTGTCCTGCCATGAATTTATTTTACTGGAAACAACCATTACTTCAGACCAGCAAACAATGAGTTTGCAGTTTGAACGTTTTTACTGTCTGATGCACACCTTGTAGATCCATAGATTTTGGCACTTTTATTTGACCCTGTTTTCTTTGAATCTGTACTTTAATTTATCTGCTTGTTTGTTGTAAACCGTTTGTTAAGTGCAGATTCTCCTGATACAACTAAACTGTCTGATGGAATGATTCAATGGTATTCATGCCAATAATTGTTGTGTCATGACGCATATTATTATAATGCTGTTTTCATCACCAAGGTCATTTTTGTTGTGTCGCGCCATTCTTTGAGTGTGAGTCACTCAGCTCCATGAAACTGTCTCTCCGCTTTTCATGTTAAAACATGTGTGGAGCTACCACATGTATTGTTTCAATGTAACCTGTTTTCTTCTCATCCTTCTCTCTCACTCTTGTTGCTCAAAAAAACATAATCTTTTCTCAAATGCATATTTGTGACAGTGACAAACAGAGGTGGGATGCAAATATTCAGTCAGGACATTGTATTAATTGTTGGATGCAGCAATACATTGCTTTTCAGAGCAAATCTGAGCAGGCTTGAAACAAACCATCCCTGAGAAAATCTCCCCCATAAATCCTGAGATGTAAAACATTTGAATGGACAAGATCACACTTTGAACATCACATACACTGTGCTCTAAACAAAATGATGGAGAAAAGGTGGAGGGCGCAGGAAGACTGTCACGTGCACATGCAGAATGAAAAACGCTTGGAGAAAAATGTCCAGCATACAGATACAATGATTATCAAATGTGTAAATGTACATAAAGTGTTAAAGATGGATCTTTGTGGAAATGTGTGACTGACCGATTTCTGGAACCTGACGCAGGACAAAGCCGAAAGGCATTTGTCTTACAATTAAGTTGTTATATAGACAAACTGTTGCAATGATTGATTACAAACCATATGATTAGAGCTGAAACAATTATTCTATTAATCAATTATTCAGAAAAGAATCAGTAGTTTATTGGATAATGATAATGATTGTTGGAGCCATTCATGTGACTGTAAATCTACTTGTGTGCCTGCCTGAGGGTCCACGAGGGTCCATTCAGGCATAGCTGATGGCTGGTTATGACTGATCCACAATTGTAAACCTACTAAAAAAGATGTTTGTTAAGGAGGCACAATTCTGGAAAAAGAAAAAGCTCCCTGTAAACCACATGGGTTTGCAGAACAACTTCATCATGGTTAAAATACATCTTTGTCGAATCACATTACTTGAATCATTTGATATGATTACAGAATGACAGCTTCACAGTGTAAGTCTTTATCTGTAGTCTCTTCTCACTGTGATCCTCTGTGTTGCAGCTTGTCCTGCAGGGATGTGTTCGAGTCGAGGTTTATGCGGTGACGACAACCGTCCCAACAGAGCCTCCAGCTCAGAGGGCTCCGGCTCAGGGGCCCACTATGCCCTGTGTGCCCTGGGAGTGGGACTCATCGCCCTGGGCATTGTCATGATCGTGTGGACCGTGATACCCAGGGACGGAGATGACATCCCCAACTCAGCAGGCAACTCCACCGGTAACCCTACCACCATTGATCAGGAAGAAAAGGACAAAGACGCAAAATCCTCTACAGTGGCTATGGTGCTGGTTGGAGTTGGTGCCGCCATGTTGCTTTTATCCATTTTCCTTGGCGTGAGGAACAAGCGGAGGCGAGGCAACGCAAGCAGCCAGGCAGTGGCAACAGGAGTCCCCCTCATGAACCATGTGCCCGAGCAGTGAGTAGTGGCTTTTTCTTTTTGTTTACGTTTGATATCTGGTGGTGTGAAAAAAGCTACTTTGTATTGGAAATATACAGGCTTCCAGGCCTTGAAACATTTCTACCTGCAATATTAAAAGCCACAATCCTACATTTTCATCAACACCGTGATCTGGCTAAATGAGTTATCCTGCTCAATAAGACCGATATTGTTGTCACATAATTTAATAGTTTGAAGTCCAACTCAAATATTTATTATGGGAGGGTTTCTAGGGGGGAACAATGGATCAAAGAAACAACGTCTGAAAGAATTATGACTGGACTCTTCTGTTCAGCACAACTCCACGAGGCTTTAATTGTCTTTTAGCCCATCAGTTTTTTTTACTAATCACAGCCTGTTTTGGGTAAGTCTCGCCGCTCTCATAGCATCATTTCTGGTCTCAGTGGGCAGCTGTACACCTTCCACTCAGTACCAGACCATGCAATACAGATAGCTGGTGAAATACTATAGCATGGTTGAGACCAACAAACTCATAAAAGTGAATAATTGACTTTTATTTGATAGATGGACACAAACAAAATAATGATAATGTGGCTTTATATCTGCTGGATGTGAACATTTGAAAAGGTTTGCCCACACCTCATCATATCCGCATAAAAAGGGATCATTTGGAAATGTAGTATTAGCAGCTTATTTCTGAGGCCCCCTTAGTGGCAAAAAAAACCGATGCATAGCAGCTTTAGCTTGATTATTTTCCTATGTATTTTGTTTACACTGCACTTTCCTACTGAGGCTCATCTCTGACGTTCTATTGCAGAGCTGCAGACCCAACTACATTCAACGTGCCAAGCTACGAGGAGGTTGTTGGCAGCGATGACTACCCCGTCCGCCACAGCAATCTTCGCAGCAGCACTTCCCAGCTGCCGTCCTACGAGGACATCATAGCTGCTGTGGAAAACGAGGGTAGAGAGACCACTGACAACCCCACTGAAGACGCTCCTCCGAATGATGCCGCAACAGCTCTGGCTGGAGCTCCAGCTGACCCCCCCTCTGACCCCCCTGGCCTCACTTCAAACCCCAGCCTGCCCACCCGCAGCGCCAGCCGGGCCAGCCGCCTACTGCGGCCCCTCCGGGTGAGGAGGATCAAGTCAGATAAACTGCACCTGAAGGACTTCCGACTTCAAATCCGCACCCCCACACAAAATCCAGTGACCATTGAACCCATCACCCCGCCACCGCAGTATGACAACAAGGTGCCAGAATTAGAGTAGTGTCTCTCGCTCATTGTTGAAAAAAAAAATATCTCTGTGTAAAATGGATTGCCAATAACATTTATGAGAACCCATTTTCAAGGTTGGTATTAAGTAGGTTAAATGTGGCTGCAAGCAGCGTGATAGAGGCCCAGCAGGAGAGACACCCCTGAAATGAGAACATTGTCTTTATTACTGACGCTTGTGATCTGCATATTTATTCTGTTATAAAGCTAAATTAAGTCTGTTAAAGGTTCTGCTGTCAAAGTTGAGATTTTGTCCTGACATCATTTATGCCAAACATGCCTTTCAGTTTTATTTAATAGCTATTTGTGTGTTTTAATGGACAATATTGTTAACTCATATAATTGTTTTTCATCTGACAGAAAAACGAAATATTCCGGGTGGGTTGCTCCTGATTAGTTTTGAGAACTTTAAACCGTATTGTTGTGATTCAAAAGGGCTGAAGGGAAAAACATTTCTGGAAATTCTGCTATTAAGTATCATACAGTGTGCAACCTTTATGTGATTGGTCATGCACTGAGACCACACATGCAGAATGTATTGTCCATGTTTGTTATCGCTTGTTTTTAAGTATATTGTCTTAAACAAACTGTTTCATGAAAATGAAAAAGCCCTCTGTATGATGTCCAGTGTGAACTGTACAATTCTTAAAACAGTTATATTCTACTGTAACACTAACCAGAGAAAAAACATTGGATATTCTGGTACGGCATGGGTGATATCAATGCATTGTTTTTCAGGACTTTTTTAGTGTTTAAATGTTTAAACTATGCTGTATGATGTTTGTAAAAAAAGTGGTGAATAAATGTTTTTCTATTTTATTCATGATCATGTCAATATTTTATACTTTTTGATGTTAAATATCACTGAAAAATACTTCTGTACGTTTAATTGTTTAAACATTAACTCACTTATATGCCAAGATCAGTAGAAGTAAGTAGGTCTTCTAAATATGTGTGCCACTCACTTTTGATGATTTTTCATGCTGCAACTTTGATAAAGCTGTATTTATTTTGAAAGAGATAAATATCTTCCTCGTGCTTTCTGTTAATAAAATCTAACTGTAGACTTTTGTTTTATTTTTTGTCACATTGACAAACTCCCTATTTGACTTTCTGTTTTTGCACCAACTGTGATATGTCTTAATAATCATCGGTTAATATTCAGCACCCTCAAGTGGTTGAAAAGGGTAAAGTCCAAACTAGTTTGATTTGACCTGTCAGTTTTAGTCATACTATATAGGTGTTATATTGGAATGCTTTTATATTTAACATTTGTTTTAAAGGGAGATATTTAACCCTTAGATGCACCAGTTTATAGAAAAGTATCCATCTATTCATGCTTATTTTATTAATGGCAGCACTATTCAGATGATTTACTTGCGCGACGCGCGTACATGTAAAAGCCTGCATTGAATGCATAACTTCTGTGTATTGAGGAAATTGGCAAACACAAGTAGTTGAGAAAATAGCTGAGATCATTTTCCTGACATGCAGTACTACAACTTTTCTAATAGTTTTTAATGACATGCCATGACATTTGTTAATATCTACTACTATATTGCAGTGTGGTTGTTTTATGAGACACTATATTATCAATTTTTATCAACATTTTCAACATTTATGACGACATACTTCACTTGGACTTTTTTATGAAATAGTTGTAACATACTGTAATATGACATTTTTATGTTTTTTTAGGACCTACCTCGCTATGACTTGTTTGCTGTTTAAGATATACTATACAATGACATTTTTATGACTTTTTTTTACTTATTTATGACTTTTTCTTCCATAATGTACAACTGTATGATTTGTTTTACGACATAGCCTACCATAAGATAATTGTGTAGGACATTCTTATGACAGCTTCTGTAGTATGACATTTTATGACATATTTGTTTACAGATTATAGTATGACTATTCTGTTACAGTTGTTCTTGAGATCTTTATATTAAATAGTTTTTTTTCTGTAGAATAACTTTTGATGACATGTAGCATGTGGCACTCTGGAATTGAAGTATAGGCCTACTGTACATTAGCATAACATGGAAAAACTCAAGTAGGGTTATTTAAACATATCCTTAAATACAGTAGGCCTACGTGACTATTAATGCACTATGTTACCTTCCGGCAGCTCATACGTCTACAGTTTCAGGTTGACCTTCTTAAGCAAATAAACCAAAATACAGTAGAGCTTATCTGGATCCTCTTTTAAATTAACATGTTCAAAAAAGTTTCCAAAAATGACTAAACTGCTGATCCTAAGGCTTAAACATATGAAATAAGAAAGTTTATTTTTAAATGTCCAACATCCACTATATTTTCTTAAGCCCCTCCCCTCGGTTCAGAGGGATTTTTTTCTTTTTTTAATGTGCAGCTGCCATGTAGCAGAGGGAGGAACAGCTGGCTGAGGGAAGAGCCAGCCCGGGGAGTCAGTCACATTCCTGGCTGGGATTCAATGACTGAACCAGACACAAACAAACAGAGAGGGCGAGAGAGAGAGGGAGAGAGAGAGAGAGAGAGGGAGAGAGAGAGAGAGAGAGAGAGAGAGAGGAGAGAGAGAGAGAGGAGAGAGAGAGAGGAGAGAGAGAGAGAGAGAGAGAGAGAGAGAGAGAGAGAGAGAGAGAGAGAGAGAGAGAGAGATGAGGAGAGAGAGAGAGAGAGACACACATTGAGTGAGTGGGGAGACAGACTGAGAGTACGCCAGACTGAGCAGACGAGGCATATTTCGAGCGCACATTAGGAGTGCGTAAAACCGCAGGAGCGTATAGAAACACGGTACCCGGTGATTGTACGTTGGATAATACGAGTTTTGAGTCGCGGAGTTGTCGACTTTAATTGCGTCTGCCTACAGGAACAGCCCCTGTGTGTTCGGCAGCCGTCAGTTTTCTGAATGGACGCGCTGGGAAGCTTCTCCGGTGACATGGAAATGCGCGTTATTGAGCGTGTAGCCGGATGCTGAGGACGCTCGATCCGATAAGTCAATTTCAGCTTTCATTTTGAGTTTTGAACTGTGTTTTCCAACCGGCGACAACATGGAGGGTACGAGCTTTCAGCCCCATCCCGGACTTCAACAAACTCTGAAGCAGTTTCATCTGAGTTCCATGCGCTCTCTTGGCGGACCGGCAGCGTTCTCCGCTCGGTGGCACCAGGACTCGTTTTTCGGTAAAGATGGAAAGTCCGTCGAGATGATGCTAACCATGCCGGCTCAGACGCCTCCGGTAATGTCAGGTCCACTTTTCATCCCGTCCGACCGCTCCACGGAGAGGTGCGAGACGGTCCTGGAGCGGGAGCCCATCTCCTGCTTCGCGGTCGGCGGTGAGAAGCGCCTGTGCCTGCCGCAGATCCTCAACAGCGTCCTGAGAGATTTCTCGCTCCAGCAGATCAACTCGGTGTGCGACGACCTGCACATCTACTGCTCCAGGTGCACAGCGGACCAGCTGGAGATCCTCAAAGTGGTGGGCATCCTGCCCTTCTCTGCTCCGTCCTGCGGGCTAATCACCCAGACGGATGCTGAGCGCCTCTGCAACGCTCTCATCTACGGTGGCACCTTCCCTCCACACTGCAACAAGGAGTTGGGTTCCCTGGAGTTGGAGCGAACCGAGAAGAGCTTCAAAGTATATCATGAATGTTTTGGCCGGTGTAAAGGCTTGTTTGTCCCGGAACTGTACACCGGCCCGAGTGCCACCTGCATCCAGTGCATGGATTGCAGACTCATGTTCCCTCCTCAGAAGTTTGTGGTCCACAGTCACAAGAGACTAGAGAACCGGACGGTCCACTGGGGATTCGACTCCGCAAACTGGCGGGCTTATGTGCTCTTGGACCCGGACTACACCGGAAAGGAGGAAAAGAGTCACCTGGAGGAGCTGCTCAAAGAGTTAAAATCAAAATATGACCCTACGGGCAAGCGGTCCAGTAAATCGTGCAGAGTAAGTCTTTTTTGTTACACCTTGTTATTAACTTACACTTATTTGTATTTGAGGTGTGTTGTTTGTATCTGTGGATATTTCAACAGCACCAGGCATACTACAGCATCAGCATTAATTAACATTAATTCGGAGAAGGCTTCCTTCCCATCAGGCCTGTCACTGTCTTCTTTGATTGATTGTTTCCACTTTATTAGGCACCCCCAGCAGAGTTATAATGCAAATCACATGTCACATCCCAGCTTTCTGTGTGTAACCCTGCACTGTGAAACACCTCATATGAAGCCTCACTCACCTCATATATGTCTGGAAGAGGTGACAGGGAAGCCTCTAACCATCAGCTGAAGCCCCTCAGCATCCCCCCCCCCCATCCTCCAAAACTCACCGGACCACCCCCCACCCTCAGGGTTACCCAAGGGCATCTGCATTATGATAAATGGAGACTCGATGATATATTTTATTAGTGTGAGAGGGGAGAGGGGGGCAGGGAAGCCTATTATAGTGCCACGAGGTGGGGAAGGGGATAAGAGTTTAATGAGGTTTGGGATATGGAAATGTGTGTGTGTGAGAGGATAGGGGTTGTGGCTGGTCAGGATAGGATAAGATATGTGTTTGTGTTGCTTGGGTCAGAGATGTTCAGTTTTGGACAAAGGGCCAGGAGACGAGGTGGCTGTTCCTCCGTCACAGAGCAGCTGTTGTGTGGGACTCTGCTAATGAGTGGGCATCTCTGTATGCATCACCATGGAGCTGCTCCAGTCTGAGCAGGAGCCAGGAGATGTCTCACAGGGAAAACCTCAGTGCTCTCTTTGAAACATTTTGAAACATTCTCAAGAAAATGCTGTTGGCTTATAGAAACATGTCTGAAATAATGACATGGGGGAGGTTATTGGTCCTACACGCTGCACACAGACATCCAAAGCTGATTTATAGCATGTTTCCCCACAAATTGAACACAGACTCCTGACAAAGTCTTTGTACAGTCAGAAAATATGTCTGTAAAAAAAAAAGTCTTGCACCTGTGGCTAATTTCTTCCTAACTACAGTCAGCAGGACTTGATGGATCACCTGTGAGTTATATATCTTCTGAAAATGGTGAGTCCTGCGCTGACAGTCTTTCAGTGTGTGTGATATACTCAGGCCCTGAGCATCATGGAGGGTGCGAGGCGGAGGGGGCAGTGCGCTGGCTGTGGTTCACTGTCAGTCGTGTCCCAGTTAGCAGACAGGCCCGGTCCTCCGGGAGCTGCACACCAGCGCCCCCCCATACATCAGCCTGACAGGCCAAGCTGCTGAAAGGCCGGGCGGGGGGTTCGCAGACCACGCTTGGCTCTGCTTACCTATGAAACAAAAACTCAATGTTATCGGCCTGCCTCAGCCTCCCTCTGATGTCAGAGTGTTTTATTAATAAGAAAGAGCCTCGAAGGTTGCCTCCTCTGCCTGTGTCATCTGTCTAGACTCCCACCTCATCTACTGTATGTGGGGAATGGTGCAGATACAGCACTGGTGCAGGAAACTGCTGAGAAGATTTATGCTGATGAAGCAAGTGTTTCTTTTTTTGTGGAATAGTTTAAAAGTTCAGTTTTCTCGATTTAAGTGTGATATACAATTATTTTAATAGTTTATTTTATTGCTAGGCTGTGGGTGTGAGAAAATAACCAGCCTCCTCACACAAGTATAAGCCAGATAAGAAGGGGGAATAAGAGCAGTGAACCATTGTGTCTGTTTTGCATGAAATCCAGCATTTGCTCATTGAGCTCTTTGCTTAATGGGCAGATGAGGGCAGATTGCTGAGAGGAGGCTGCAGACTTTCTTATTCAGAGGATGCAGGGTGTGTGTGAGCCAGGCCTTGACATGTGTTGTCAAAGGGCCGTGACCCCTGACCTTTCCCCAAAGACACTGACCCACCTTCCCCCATTCTTTTCACACCATACAATCACATGCCCTTGTGTCCAGTCCACTGGCCAGATGGCTGTCTGATAAAGGACTGATAAAACAACTCTCATCTGCAGCTTGATTGCATTAAAAAAATTGCCATTTTGAGATCCTTACAGTATTTTTTATTTCAGATCCTGGATGATTATTTTGCTGACACACGGACACAAAATGTACATTTCTTGGAGTCCAATTCAAATTCCTTCTTGCA